AATATATATACATAACATACAATATATACTAAAAGAAAATATATAAGGGAATATATATACATAACATACAATATATACTACAAGAAAATATATAAGGGAATATATATACATAACATACTATATATAGTACACTATACTAGTATACTATATTTCTATTATACAGAAAAGGAAAGATGGTCAACCAAGGGCATATATGTCATTTCGAAAAAAATTATTGTATTATTTGCATTTCTTAAATGCAAATTGATTCCTTCTTGATATACGTGGACCCCACATTCCCTTGACCACAACACTCCTTTAAAAGTTTAAATGTAGTGTTGATAAGACTACTTTTGCATAGAGTTACTCCATGCAAATACTCATTTTGAATGTTTTTTCTCATTTGATAAAATTATTAATTTTTGTTTCAGTCAACTAACAGTTTTCACAGAAAAAGTAAATTTAATTTTTAAATAATAAAGCAACAAAAAGAAATATAGATAAATATTTACAAGATTTTCATATTTACCCATACCATTTTAACACAATTTAAAAAATAAAATTAAAGGTTTTCATGTATTCACACTATTTGAAGGCGATTTCAAACCTAAAAGTTTTATATTCAAAAGTAATTTACAAAACTATAATTTGTTAAATCTTAAAGTTAATTTAAGTGATGATATTTGTTCATCTATTCTAGGAGGTTATCTCTTATGTACTTAATTGATGTGAAAATTTGATTTATATGGTTTGAACTCCATTCTTCCATGATAAGTTTTCAGCAATCTATAAATTGTCTTAAAATATTTTATATTATTTCATTATAAAAATTAACATATGATAAATCTATAGAAAAAATAAAAATATTTCTCTTATATCCTTAATTAAGAAAAAATTAAAACCCTATAATTAAAAATTCGAATATAGTGGGGAAATAATACTAGTGAATCAATTTTACAATTTGATGTTTATATTTGACATTGATGTTAAAATGAGTATTATAGCACATAGTCTTTTTATGTTAATAATTGGAGCAACTTAATCAGGTTATAATTTATAGTTTATTTTGTAAATTATTAAAATAAATTAATTGTAAATTGTGATCCCAATTTCATTTTCTATCAGTTATTAAATAGATATAACAATGATCGATTTATTTATCAAAAAGTTAATTGAGCACCGACAAAAAATAATTTTAAGATTACAATGTTGGGCCCGTATACGGGCCTTTCCTCATCTAGTATTGTTATCAAGATGATGCCAACCCCCACCGCCCACCCCACCCACCCCCACCCCCACCCCCAGGAAAAAAAAACTATAAAGTAGGAAGAAGAAGGGAAAAATCAATAAATAAATTAAATATCAAGACAGAATTTGGAATATCAATCTTCTCGGGTTCAACTTTTTGCTCTCATGTCTCATCCCCATCCCAACCCACCTCGCAGAAGGTTGGTTGCTTAAGTTCAAGTAAGGACAAACTGGACAAGTAAACCTTGTCTTTCCTAATCATGGACACAATAACTTAAACTTAAGTTTTCATATAATAGATGGCAGAATGGCCTAAATGGCACCTATACTTGTGCCACTTTGTCATCCCGGCCTCGAACACTTGACAATTTGCCGATTGAACACTTACACTCCTTCAAAGCGTTTATTATACACGGTTTGAAGGAGTGTAAGTATTCAATTGGCAAATTGTTAAGTTTGGGGACCGGCATGACAAAGTGGCACAAGTATAAGTGCTATTTAGGCTATTCCGCCATAATAGATTGGTCAAAGCCTTATAAATGTTCTGAAAATCTAATAGCTATCTGAAGACCAAATTGTCAACCCCCTACATCCTAGTTTCTAGCTTTTCTTGGAGCTTTTGGATTGTTCATGCTAATTATTTTGTTTTAGGTACGAGATATATTCTCAAAAGCAGCTGCAGCAGCACCATGCCTTCTATTTTTTGATGAATTTGATTCTATCGCTCCAAATAGAGGGCATGACAACACTGGTGTTACTGATAGAGTTGTTAATCAGGTTATTTCTTGTCCACATCTTTTGTTGTTTCCATCCTCCTTTTACCTTGCATAATTTTCATTTTTGTTCAATTAATGCAGTTTCTTACTGAATTGGATGGTGTTGAAGTGTTAACGGGTGTGTTTGTATTTGCTGCTACAAGGTTAGCATCTAACCGGATGGGCTTTGTTTACTATTGCTTTCAAGTTTTTGCCTTCACTTGCATATGTGGTACCCGTATTTCATCCGTTGGCACTTTTGTTGGTTCTTGGCCTAGTCAGTGATTGAGCATATATGCAGCCTTGTTATTTGTTGAATTTTGTACTACTAGATAGTAATCAATGCAGGTTGAAACAGACGCACAGAGATCCATGGGATGGAGAGTGCATCTGTTAGTTTCCAGATTTTTTGCCATTGGAGTCCCAAACCGTTCAGTGAATTTTCCTTAATTGCTAGGTTGGAAATTGTTACCCTAAGAGATGGACCACTGGGGAGAGGGGAATTTATAGAACAAAGGCATTCGTTAATCTTTTCTCTTCAATCTTTAGCAGGGACTAGTCATTGGAAAAAAGAAAAAAACTCTTTTGGTCAGAGATTAATAAAATTCTTTATTTATTTAAGCAGTCATTTTACAATGCCACTAATGTAATGGGGAATGTTTTTTAAAAAATAGCTTTATATTTTGATATAGTAGTAGGCACAGAAGTATAGGAAAATTGAGATTTAGAAATTTCTTTCTGATACTCTCTACACTCTAAAAGCTAATGGTGCCTCACATAATAAAAAGGAAAAAAAGGCCAGAAACAACTGGTTGAAAGAACTTGGAGAATTATAAGAAAATACACATGACTTCACACCATAACAAAAAATGGCCCATATTTTTAAGTTTTACCCAACCTAGCCCATATTGTACATATTTTGAAAGCACTAGCAAATTCTAAACTTGTGTCCTTACAACCATTGCTTCTAAATGCTATGGAGTTAAATATGTGTTCTCACAACCATTGCTTCTAAAAGCTATGGAGTTAAATATGTGTTCTCACAACCATTGTTTTCACTCTCTCTTCTTCTCACTTCTTCTACGTATGCTTCAAAGGCTGTCCGCCATTGTTGCTTCTTACCCTGTGTTACCTGGTTGCAAGTAAGAAAAATGAAGAGTAGAAGTCCACCATTGAAGGCCATTCGAAGCTTTGCTTTCGAAAATAGGATTTTTTGAGTTTGTTAGTTGTTTGGATTGGATGTTGTTCCAATTGATTGAAAATATCAAAAGGAGTACAAAATTTAAATTTGAAGTGATTTGGAGTAGATTTGAGCAAAATTTGAGTTAAATTTTAGAAAAGACGCAAGGAAGAAGACGAAGTCAGTTTTTTGTATAATTATGTATAATCTTGTATAATAGTGTATATGAGTGTATAAACACATCTTATACACTATTATACACTTTTATACACCTTTATACAAACGTCTGTAGACGAAGCTCTTCCACGATTTTCAGTTGCGATTCTTGTTCAAAACCAGTCCAAATCTCCATTAAATGACTTCAAATTTTATATACAACCTCCTTATACTATTTCTAACAAGTCTAAATAACACCCACTCCAAATTTCTCACAAAATCAAATTCGAAATTTAAACCCACATGTTTAAGCTTGTTAAAAATTTAATTTTCACCATCCAAATGGATTTGGTTTGTTGAACTAATTTTTGAGTCACAGTTACTTATTCGAAAATTAACTTAAAGTTTGAGCAATCTTTTTTAAAAATTAAATAGTAATTTCTAGAACCTATTGGAGTTGAATATTGAATCTTAGCCTATTAATTTTGGGGTAGTTGGTTGTAAATTAAAATATGGGCTATAAAATTAAAAAGTAGGGAGCTCAATTGTTTTTATGTGAAATTTTCCCATAATATATTTATTTATTGTTTGTCTGTTGAACAGCCTCACTATGTGGGATTATACTAGGTATGTTGTTGTTTTTTTGTTTGTTGAACATCTTTTTTGAGGAGATTATGAAGAACAAGGGGTCGTGTCAATCTTAGGTGGTCCAAAAGTGTGTGTTGAGGAGATTATGAAGAACAAGGGGTCTGTCAAGCTTAGGCGGTCCAAAAGTTTGTAATACTTTAAAGATCAAGCTAGAGTCTTCCAACTTGGTATCCCTATTTACCATGTTGAGGTTATCAGTTCTAGGCAACCTCATGCGTGTCACTGAAATGGAAAAATACACACGGATATATTTGAATAGGTGTGTACGTGAGTGCCCGAGCACACGCGAAGACATCTAAAATTTCTATAGATCAGCAGCTGCTTTCTCTTGACCAAGTCCTTTTACTTGTAAAAAACAAATAATATCTGTCCTCCTTTTAGTTGTGGAATAGGAGATTGGGGGTTGGCAGCGTTATCTCTGTGACATACAAGTTGGCATGCCTGCACCCCTTGCCTTTGTGTCCTTGAGAGTGAATACTACGTGCAACTCATTCTACATGGTATTTGTATACACCTAATGAAATGCCTATGAGAATATCTCTACTGGAAAGTAATTTGAGTCTCATGAATATTTTTCCTTTTTGACCTAATGACATTTAGTTTTAAAGGTACATCAAGTACCTGTGTCTGAATGATTGAATTGAATTCGTTACTACATTGTTATGTGGTGTTCTTGTGGAATAGTTAACAGCCGATGGATAAAACTTGTAGCCTAACGTTCCATACCCCTGTACTGTTAAGGTTGTCTAATCATGCTATACCTCTGCATTTTACTGAATAATTGATCCTTTATGAAGAAGAAGAATTCATTAGCCTTCTTTTCTGTGGAATGATACGATGATGCAATTTCTCTGACCAAGTTTGACCTTTCTTGTCTTCATTTTTAAGCAGTAGACCGGACTTGCTTGATGCTGCACTTTTGCGACCTGGAAGGCTGGATCGCCTTCTCTTCTGTGATTTTCCTTCACAGCGTGAGAGGTTGGAGATTCTTTCAGTTCTATCGAGAAAAGTAAGTCTTATTCTGATTGGGGCACTTCTTTCAATCAATCCCAAAGAGATGTTATAATATGTGGATAATGAGCAGGAGGTGTGGGATATGTCTTTCCAGATTAATTAATGCCTCTTCCCGATTCAACTACATGGTAATGAGCTTGACTTGGTTGGATATACTCATATTTCCCGGAGAAACTGTGGCTGAACTCAATTAGGAATAATCTGACAGTACAAATGGATTTTACGAAGGAAAGATCTCATTTGTTTCCTTTGGGGCAAAGGAATGTAGAATGCACAGTACAATATTAGGTAACTATTAGGCTATGTTAATAGGTTTTCCAAGGTCACCCATTTCCATGTTCCAATTTTGACTCAGGCTTCCTTGGAATTAGAGTGAACGGTCTTTAACAGTTTTGGTGTATATTGCGCGGACTCTCCAAATATGCTGTCGTATCCGTGTCAGATCCTCCGTAAATGCACTGATTTTGGAAGATCTGACACGCACTTGGTGACATTTTTGGAGAGTCCGAGTAACAGAGGTCTTGGTTCCTCTTATCTTTGCAAAGTGACAATATAACGGCGAAGTGTTTGTTAAATCATTTTAAAGAAATGGTAGGAGGGAAACGTGATCATTCCTATGAGTAATTTTGGGAGGGATCAAGACATTTTGGATAAATTTCTAACCAGCAAAGCTTTTGCTTTGACGATGGTCCGTATATTAAATTTTTTAAGTTTACTTTTATTTGAATGAAGACAGTAACTGATTTACTTGCTTAAATGCAGTTACCATTGGAAAGTGATGTCGATTTGGATGGCGTATCTCGTTTGACAGAAGGGTTCAGTGGAGCTGACCTCCAAGCACTTTTCTCTGATGCACAGCTTGAGGCTGTCCATGATCTTCTAGATAGTGAAAATGTCGGCAAGCCTGAGAAGAAGCCAGTCATCTCTGATGCTCTCCTGAAATCTATTGCATCCAAGGCAAAACCATCTGTCTCTGATGCTGAAAAGCAGCGATTATACGACATCTACAGTCAGTTTTTGGATGCAAAAAGATCATTGGCTGCACAGGTGCGGTGTTCTTTGCTTAAAGCTGGAGTGGCAGATGAATTACCTCCTTCTATCGCTTGCTAGTATGATAACTTTTTCTATTGTTTGGTATAGCTAACCTCCATTCAACCATGTTTATTTGCAGTCAAGGGAAGCAAAAGGAAAAAGAGCAACCCTCGCTTGATGATTGACTGCTACTCGAGCTCTATGTGCAAGAGCTTGCTAAAGACACATGAATGACTGGCCCGATCACTTGCAGTAGCTGCATTTTGGGTGGAGTTTGTAATGACACCATCCCTTTTGTCATTTATAGTTAGAAATATCTTGTTGTAGCATTAGTCTTTCCTATGTGGGAAAGTTCAAAAGGATAACTTACATTTATCTGCCGATTCTCAGTGTCATTGGGCATTCGTCTTAGTTTTAGGAGAAGAGCCCATGTCAAATTAGTGAGTGATGTCTTGCCATAGTTTTTTATTCTGGACAACTGAAGTGCGTCTGCAAAGAATAACTCTGCAATAATGAAACACAAATGACTTCTATCTGTTTCAGCTTTCCCCCTAAGAAAAATGATGGGATCTTCTGCAAAAGTTAGAAGCACAGAAAAATAAATTGAGTTGATGAAGAGTTGGATAATCAATTTTTATTTTCAATCCAGTCTCATTCTTCACTTTACATATTGGTTTTCGAATTTAGCTTGTACAGCTATGGGTTATTTATAACATATTTGTATATGCAGACTCTATATAATAGGTATCAGAAAATGCATATCTCAAAATATTAAGGCAAATAATGCATAATCTCTTTCAATTAGGTACTACAAATTCTTTTTTATTCTGTTAATATAAATAAGTATAATATAATATGATATAATACCAACAATGATGAGAATGACCATAACAATGATAATGAAGATACAGCATTCTAATACATTACTGTCTGTGATCATAAAAAAGAAGAAGGAAGAAAGTAGGAAAAAGAATTAAGCATATGGGTGATGAATGTTGGATAGAAGAAATACTTAATTGAAATTAGTTTAGTCCGAGTGGACGAAATGTGATCAAACAAGAGTATTAAGGACCACAGGAATTAATAGAGTAAGTCGTATAAATTGAAAATGATGAAGTGGAAGTTTTTCTATCTTCATATCTTGTAAGCGTATCAAATTTATTTGGCATTTTCTTGTACATTGCTTTTATGGTTGAATATGCTCTCTAAGTACTACTAACTAATTTCATGTCACATTATAGGGGTTGAGCAACTCATCGATTATAGTCCATTTTGAAGGCGAGAAAGTTGAAACCAATCATTCACCCTGAAAACATGACACACACAGCCATAGGATCTTAGTTTTCAAAGTTATTTTTGCATAAATAATACAAAACAAAACAAATATTTAAGGATAATGGATATGACTGGGTCTTCAATCCCATTTTGGCAAAAAAATGTGGTGGTTTAATTGGATCAGCCCATCAGGCTTTTGTTGGACTTTGTGAACACTGATCCGTTATCCTTCCACTGCACAGAGCGGGAGCTGTTCATTGCTCTGTGAAACCAGCCTCACGCGGTCCGCCCCACTTTAGGAGCTACGCAGCCCATATTTTCACTTGGACTACGAAGCCCAACTCCATGCTTGGACAGGGCAGGCCAGAGATTAGCCCACAAAGTCCTGCCTTCTGGGTCAACCCAATATTCCACCACTTTATCGCCCCCACTTGGGTTACAAGCTCACGTTACCAAGCCCGGCAAACAACATTCATTTGCACTTTGTTTATAAAATGGAAAAAACTTTCTTTATTAACCGATGTGGTAGAGCAATCAAAAACAATGAATTGCTTTTGCCATTATTTTATGTTGTATGTTAATTGTGATAACTAAAGCTAATTAGGACTTCCTAACAGGTTTTCTCTTGCGGATAAACAGAGCTAAATTAGAAATGATTTGCACTAAATAAAGATTTCATGCATAGGTACTATGCTTTCATTTTTTTTTTTCCAGCCAGCATTGCATTAGTTTCCAATGAATAATAACCCAGAAGCAGGTGAGTGAAAGAAAAAAGGTCATAGGCCGAATACAATGATAATTGAACTAAAATATTTGGAGCAATTTAATTAATGGCATATGAATAGTTGTAACTTAGTCATACGCAAATGAATTGTTATTCTTTCTTCTAAAATATATTTTTGCAATTAAAAATATGGGATTTTTTCATACCTATACACTATTGGAAACTTTATTACCCTAACATGTTTAGTTAATTACCCGGCATAAACAAATTTTGTTTACAAAATATATAAAATCCACTTTAAAAGGCTCCAATCCATTATTTGTCCCTTCAATCAAGGGATTTAGTTACACCATTTTCCTTTTTTCTCTCCTCTCTCCCCTCTTCTCTCCAAAATCGGAAGCATATGTTTTGCTGATAGGAATACTCTGTTCATTTCTGAAGAAATTCGTTGGATCCACTGCTGATTTCACTTTCACCAATCTATCAAAAGTGTTCTTGAAATACATGGTCCCATATACCCTTCCTTCATCCAAGCTATGTGGTCCTTGATTATTTGTACCAATATCAAGATCTCTGTAATTCAAATAGGCTTGTCTTGGGTTCTTTGATACGAAAGGGGTCATAAAATTGTATAAATCTTTTATCTGTGTAAGGTACTCTTTTTCTGCAACTGCTCCTTCTTCGTCCCAATTCACTGAGTACTGCATCTTGAATAGAATCCCCGCTCTGTGTGTAAATGACGCTTTGCCCTCGGGAATTTCAGTCATTCTCCCTCCATATGGATTGAAAAGTAATCCCGCTTTGCCCAAAGAAATTATTTTTTTGAAAATTGACTCCAACCCATCTTTGGACTAATATTGGGAAATGTAATTGTAGTCCATTACTCTAGGCACACCTTTTGCACTCGGTAGATATGAACTGGAGATATCGGTTTTCTATAAGGAAAAAAACCGAAAAATCCACAAAAAAAAAAAGAAAAACAAATTTCTTAATTTAGTTTTGAACACGTCTGCTTAAGCGAAATAAAATGGAAATAATCGATACAGATTTGGTGAATTCAATCATCACGTAATAGTTAAGTACCATAAATATAAATTTTATACAAAATCTATACAATATGTCTTTTGTATATTTTGTATATGATTTATACATAGTAAAACTAAATTTCATACAACTAATTATATATTATACAATTTATCTACAACTTATCTTCAACTTTCACACATTATTTCTACCCAGTTATATACAACTACAATAACATGCAACTTAAATATAAATTTTATACAAAATTTATACAATATGTTTTTTGTATATTTTGTATCTGATTTATACATAGTAAAAATACGTTTCATACAACTAATTATATATTATACAACTTATCTACAACTTTCATACATTATTTCTACCCAGTTATATACAACTACAATATCATACCACGTAAATACAATTTTTATACAAATTTTATACAATATGTCTTTTGTATATTTTGTATCCGATTTATACATAGTAGAAATAAATTTCATACAACTAATTACACATTATACAACTTATCTACAACTTTCATACATTATTTCTACTCATGTGATGACCCAAAAGGTCATCACTTGCATTAAATTAAAACTGTGCTTCCGAGGCCTTGAGAACCTCGTTTAGATCCACCTTGATTTGCGTGCGCAGTCCGGGCGCGTAGCCGGAAAGCTTAAATATGAAAATCTGTGAAAAATGGTAAAATTTGGCTATAAAATGAGTTAATTTGACTTCGGTCAACGTTTTGGGTAAACGGACCCGGACTCGTGATTTGACGGTCCCGGAGGGTCCGTAGGAAAATATGAGACTTGGGCGTATGCCCGGAATCGAATTCCGAGGTCCCAAGCCCGAGAAATGAATTTTTAAAGAAAATTATTTTCTGAAATTGTTTAAAGGATTTGGAAATGAAATTTGATTAGAACATGATGGTATCGGGCCCGTATTTTGGTTCTGGCGCCCGGTATATGTCTTATATATGATTTAAGATGTTTCTGTGAAATTTGATGAAAAACGGATATCATTTGACGTGGTTCGGACCTTAATTGCAAATTTGATGTTTAAAGAAGTTTTGAGAAATTTCATTGATCTTGAGGTGATGTTCATGATGTTATTTTGGTGATTTGAGTACACGAATAAGTCCGTAGGATATTTTTGATGTTATGTGTATATTTGGTTTGGAGCCCCGAGGGCTCGGGTGAGTTTTGGATAGGCCACGGGGTGAAATTTTGGACTTAAGGAATTGCAGGCCTGCAGACTTCGCATTCCCCAAACTTTCTTCGCAATTCCCAGGTTCGCATTTCCCAAACATTTTTCGCTATTACCAGGCTTGTTCGCATTTCCCAAACTTTTTTCGCAATTCCCAGGTTCGCATTTCCCAAATATTTTTCGCAATTACCAGGCTTGTTCGCATTTCTCAAACTTTCTTCGCAATTCCCAGGTTCGCATTTCCCAAACATTTTTCGCAATTTCCCGGCTTGTTCGCATTTTCCAAACTTTTTTCGCAATTCCCAGGTTCGCATTTTCCAAACTTTTTTCGCAATTCCCAAGCCAGCAGAGGTTGGTTCGCAATTGCGAACCCCTGTTCGCAATTCCCACATCTGAGACCTGCAATTTTATACTTAGCCGATTTTAAACCCCATTTTTCATATTCTCTCAAGCACAAACACACTTAGGCGATTTTTCAAGAATTCCTTCTTCTCCAAATCAATTGTAAGTCATTTTTAACTAACTTTCTTCAATTCTTAGCATCTTTTAACATGATTTCAACTTAAAATCAAGGATTTTCATGGGGGAAATTGGGTGTTTTGGGTAGAACCTAGGTTTTCAAAAATTGGGGATTTGGACCTTGATTTGAGGTCCGATTTCAAAACAAATTATATATTTGGGTTCGTGGGGGAATGAGTAATCGGGTTTAGGTTCGAACCTCGGGTTTTGACCATGTGGGCCCGGGACCGATTTTTGACTTTTTGGGTAGAACTTTGAAAAATCCAATTTCATGCATTCAAATTGATTCATTTAGCGTTTATTGATGTAATTAAGTAACTTGTGACTAGATACGAGCGAATTGGTGGTGGAATCAAGGGGTAAAGCTAATTGAGTCGTGAATTGTGTTCGTGGCATCGAGGTAAGTGTTTGGTCTAACCTTAGCTTGAGGGATTAGGAGTTGAGTCCTATTTTTTATGTGGTAATTGTTGAGTACGACATATAGGCATGGTGACGAGTATCTATACGTTGGTGTCAAGTATGACCGTGAGTCTTATATTGTGATTTTCATGATTTCGTTGTATTATTCATGCCTTGGTGAAGATTTCTAATTGTTGTATAAAGTTTGTGGAAATAATTGTGACCTAAGAACATTGAGGAGCATTGGCTCAAGTTGTATAACGAATTGTGAAAGTATAAGTGACAATTGAACTTTTAGAGCATTGGCTCGAGTTGTGAAGGTATAAGTGATAATTGAACCTCTAGAGCATTGGCTCGAGTTGTGAAGTGAATTGTGAAGTAAAATGAGAAAGAGAAGAGATCATTATGTTATCACCCTTGCCGAGCTATTATTGATTTATATGTTATCTCCCTTGCCGGGATGTGGATATTATCGATGTTGTTCCCTTGCCGGGATTTA